GGCGCCGGATTTCTCTTGTCAAAAGAAAACAAAAACGTTTCATGCCCGAAGACGATCGGAATCGAAATGACTGAGTTATTTCCCCCCCCCCCCCAAATTACGAATTTGTCGGTTTTGGCAACTCTTTAGCTTTTGAATGCTGATAACTATTCCATTTTGACTCCGATCGCCTCTGAGCACTTGACATTTCGGTTTTGATTTTGCAAGATGAATCCAAATCTGTATTAACAGTCCTACTTTGATGGCTTCTGAAATCTTCATAGTTTTGGAACATATTAAAAATTGTAGAAACTTCAAAATAACTGGAAGTCGCCTAATCTTTGCAATATCTAGTGTCTACATGGTTATTCAACACACAACGTGTTTTCACAACAGTACTAAACTTCGACCAAAAAATTTAAGTGCCACTATCGCAACTTAAGTTTGTTGGCTGAGCGATTAGCGAAGCCTATTACTCCAGTGATGATCAAAAAGTTTCGCGTCTGTGTGTCTGTCTGTCATCACGATAACTCGAGAACGAATTGAGCCAGCGACCTGGGATTTTTAGGGTCGTTTTGTGTCATAAAAAGACAGATCGAGTTCGAAGAAGAGCATTCTAGCTCGAAAATTGGATTTAAAAAAAAAATCAAAAACCTCGCAAAAACCACAGGTCCCCAAAATGACGTTTTTTAAAACTAGCTATATGTACGCCAGACCACGTCTCGCGTAACAGGCTTCGCGATATCTCACGAAACACTGTTACGCTGCGACGCGCCTGGCGCACATATAGCTAGGCCTGCGGCGCTGACACCCGAGACGAGTTAATGGGAGGGTATTCGGGAACAGTGCCTTCCGGACCAAAAATTTGATATACTCGGAGCATTTGTTGGGGACTTATTACTCTAAAATAAGGGGCATGTAACATGAAACTTCTGCTGTTCCATAATGGTTTTCATTAAAGGTTCAAATTTTGACAGATTGTTATGTAAAAACGTTTTAGTAATGCTAGATAATCTAGGGACCCTTGAGCCTAAAGGAGGGTGTGGTTCGACGTCAACTGTGTGGTTTTAGTATTAGTTCCTGCACAATTTTTCAATATAAGGCCTCTCTTACGACTTAATAGACCATATAGTCGTTTTCACCTTATTTTTGCCAAGAAATGCCTCCTAGCACCCAAACGGTACGAGATAGAGCAAAACGAAACACTGTTACGCTGCGACGCGCCTGGCATACATCTACCTTGGCCTGCGGCGCTGACACCCGAGTCGGGTAGTGGAAAAATGTACACAAAGGTACGGGCATACGGCCCGATAACGGCCTATCACCTCGACTAAGCATGCATGCTTGCACATTATTCGCTTATTTTCGTCAAAAACACCCTCTAGCGCCTCAACGGTTTGAGCTAGAGCAAAACGGACGAAATTTTCGCCCATAGGGCTCTACTTTCACAAGTTACCCCTTAGGAACTCCTAAAAAAATATTCGGCAAAAAATACATTTTGCATCCTGTGGGTTTTTGATTTTTTAAAAAGGCAGTTTTTGAGCTAGAATGCTCATCTTCGAACTCGATCGGTCTTTTTATGATACAAAACGACCCTGAAATTCCCAGATCATTCTCTCAATTCTTTCTCGAGTTATCGTGCGGACAGACGGACAGACAGACAAACAGACAGACAAACAGACAAACAGAATGAAACTTTTCCGGTCACTGGAGTTATGGGCTTCGCTAATCGCTCAGCCAATTATTTTTTTACTGTTTTCTAAGGGGTAACTCATCAAAGTAGAGCCCTTTGGGCGAAAATTTCGTCCAGATAGCTCTATCTGCAACCGTTTAGGCACCAGAGGGAGTTTTCTACATGAAAATGACCGCAAAACATTTGTACGTTTTTTCTCAGATATTTGATGGTCTCCGGTAGAGCAACTCGTTAAAATAAATCCCCGAGGAACAAAATTTGTGACTTCTGGGGCCGAATGCCTACTTACGACTCTGCCTTTGGCCCGACTCGGGTGTCAGCGCCGCAGACCTAGGTAGATGTATGCCAGGCGCGTCGCAGGGTAACAGTGTTTCGTGAGATATCGCGAAGCCTGTTACGCGAGACGTGGTCTGGCGTACATCTACCTAGTAAAAGTTGAATGAAAGCGGCAAAAAATAATGTCGGTAGATTACCTAAATACGACTGGAGTCCTATTATTTGTATTGAAACAAATAAAATACTAAGCGTGATATACAAAATGAGTCTATTCTACAATTCAAAACCACATGTGATTTGACAGACTGGCGTATGTCCACAAACTTGATTGGCTGAGCGATTAGCGAAGCCTATTACTCCAGTGATCAAAAAGTTTCGCGTCTGTCTGTCTGTGTGTCTGTTTGTCATCACGATAACTCGAGAACGAATTGAGCTAGCGACCTGGGATTTTAAGGGTCGTTTTTTTGTCATAAAAAGACAGGTCAAGTTCGAAGAAGAGCATTCTAGCTCAAAAATTGGATTTTTTTAAAAATCAAAACCCGCAGATCCCAAAATGACTTTTTAAAAAAATATTTTTTTTAATGTTTTCTAAGGGGTAACTTATCAAAGTAGAGGCCTCTGGTTGAAAATTTCGTCCGTTTGGCTCTCTCTCTAACCGTATAGGCGCCACAGGGAGTTTTTGACGAAAATAAGCGAAAAAATGTACAACCCTGCATGCTCAGTCGAAGTGACGGGAAGTTGACGGGCCGGAGGCCCGTATCTTTGTGTATATTTTCCCACTCCCCGACTCGGGTATCAGTGCCGCAGGCCTAGGTAGATATGCCAGGCGCGTCGCAGCGCAACAGTGTTTCGTGAGATATCGCGAAGCCTGTTACGCGAGACGTGGTCTGGCGTACATCTACCTAGTTTTGAAAAAGGGCATATGTCCCGGTTGTGATTTGTCAGAATGGCATTAGTCCTCTGGATCTGTGAACATATGCCATATCACATCCGGACATGTGCCTCTTTGTTAAATTCTGGTTTTGGACTTATGGCTGTCTGCAAAAGTTACAACCGGACTTATCCCATTTTGACATGGGATATGTCAAATAACTCAGGTAGTATACAATTTTCATAAACAAAATTAAAGCTACTGTTTCCTTTTGCCATGGGCGGCTTCGAGATGTAAACGGTAAGTGAACTAGAGGCGTTTGAATGTTAAATTCTGGGTTTTTAAAAGCATACCTGTAACATTCCGTGCGGCTCGTAGCTCCGCCAATTTTGTCGCACAGAAATCATTCCTTTTGTCTGAGTATACATTTTATGTCTCGTAAAATATCTGATTTTGTCCGGTACTCATATCACCACGGATCTGCTTGAAACTGCCTATCTTATGAAAATGTAACTTCCGTACTTATGTTATTTTCGCACAACTGTGTAACTTCCGTACAACCGATTTTACACGGGTGTTACCTACATTTTCGAGAATTCTGCAGTGGGAGCTCTGGTATCTTCAGGATGTGGTTAGGGGACAGGCCCGAACAGATCCCACTCAAAAAAAAATTCTCAAAAAATATTTTTTTGTTGAGATTTTAGGAGGCCAAATATGTCGCTTATTTTGAAAACCTCCCTTATAGGACCCATCATTTTAAAGATCTTTCGTGTGGTTTGCATAAGCCAAGGCTTCATTTCTGTCTCGTGGTTAACTGGGAACCAACGCGTCATACTGACATGTCTAATGACTCGTCCCACTAACGTTTCACACACACTACCGTGTCACACTATACACTTACAGCAAAAAACAAGTTTGTGTGTCATTTGGTAAATTTATGAACCTCTTGTCTGAACAAACCTGTTAGTCAATAATTGCTGATACATTAAAAAGTTTGCTAAGAGCAAAAACTTGGCTGAGGCAGCAAAATGTTTGCCGCGACTGAAAAAAAAGGCGAGGTGGTGGCATTTTGGGGGCGCCCCCATCTACTCCCTCACCTAGCCGTCTTGGCCAAACTTGCCTTACTAGGTCTCAAACATCGTTTTTAACATCATTATATATTTATACTTGATCGTCGGTATGATCAGATAATTATCATGTGCCTCCAAAAAAAAAAAAAAAAAAAAAAACCTAAACTAAGTTGTTTTGGCGTCCTCGAAGTGCATTTAAAGGTTATTGGTGATGCATATTCAAACAACTTCCCCAACTCGCGTGAGCGCCAATATATTAAAAGTGATCCTGATTATGCTCGATGATTGGTTGTTTCCAATGATGTACAATTATAGTGCCTCGAACGCCTATGAGTCACTTAGCCTATTGTATACAATACAATTAATTACCCCGGATGTAAAGATCCGTACTTAGTACTATATAAAACTGCAGTTCAACTTTAGTTAAACTAAAGATTAATTGCAGGTTTCTATAGTTTAACTACAATTTTTTCAGACGTAGGGCCACAAAACGGGAAAAACTGCAGATTAACTACAGTTTGACTGCAATGATGAAATTACTAAAGTTCGGACTGCAGTTCGTCTTCAGATCCCTCCACCCCATTAATATCTTATTATTATACACACCGCTACATTACTGCCTCACATGGCCATAGAAATTACCCGAAAGCCTCACGAGGAATTTCTCAAAAACTAAGGAAAAATCCCACATTTTTTCAGGAGGCTTCCTCAAAATCTGAGGAGTTTTCGTCAAACCAGGGAAGTTCCTCGAAGTTTTCCTCTTTCCTTCAAAGCAATGAGCCACTGTTTTTACCGTGAAGAGATTGGGCCGCAGGCTCGACCAAAACGTCGCTAGCAGGCCTAGCAGCGGGCCTGGCCCGTGTCGAACGGAATTGCCTGCTAGTCTGCTATAACGCGGAAAGGTCAGCCTGCTCGTTCGTCTACGTTGAAATTTAGTGTTCTTACTGTATATTGTGCACAATGATAAATTATCGATACGCTCTTACCTGGATAAGGTACTTGCCCTCCCCGAGTCACAACCTCAGTCAAGAGAATGCCGTAGCTCCAGACGTCTGACTTGATAGTGTGATTGTTGCAAATAATCACTTCTGGCGCCGTCCACCTCACTGGAAAGAGGCCCCTTTTACTACTCTCGTAGACACCTTTCGACTGGAACAATTCAAGTGTTAGTATAACAACGTTAGCAATCAAGTGAAACTGCTTTTGTATCTACACACTAAACCCGCATCCATTTTATTGTTTATCAACATACAGAATACAGGCATGCATGGGTATGCACAAACTGTTCATAGTTTCCATAAAATTCTGTATGTTAATGCACAACACAATTCATAAGGATTACACTGTTATTCAAGGAATGTGGCGTCACATTCGTTTTAATGTGAAACATGTCACATTCGTTTGAATATTGTGTCACATTCATTTAAACGTGACTTGAGGTGAATTGATGCTCTAATTCGATTCACATTGAAACGAATGTGACGTCACATTCGTTGAAAAACAGTGTAAGTGTGTGGCTCGCTTTTCGATGTCAGAGTATGACGTGCCCTACGCCCCACTATTGTTGATTCCTATTACGTTTTGCATCTTAAGGCCGGGCGTAGCCAGAATGAGCATCACAAGGGCTTTAAAACGACACAAAGGTTTTGGTATACTACCGAAAATAAAAATGTTTAATTAGTAATACAGCAAAACTGAATTTAATAACTTTTGGATAATTGTAAAATACAAAAATGCAAGATTGTTTTACATACTATACTGAATCCCTCTTTCATTCTGTATTCCTTATGGTTCTGATTCACGAAAACCTCACTGCAGTTTTTAGCCCGCCCTTCTGCTTTGAAAAGGCTCTTCAGCGGGCTTCTGCAAACGACCTCGTGTCTGTGTGTCTGTCTCTGTACAGACACGTGTCTGTCTGTTCCAGTAGAAAGAAATGTGCAACAGACTTCAAATTTTCAAGGGATCACTAGGTTAACTCCAAGAAAACAAAACGCCTACGGCAAATCCTGCCAACCATCCATAAGAGGCTGAAAGGTGGTATCAAAGAAAAAAGGAAAGGCCAAAAAAGTTAGCAAAAAATCATTCTTCTATGATCTTAGGGGTAACTCGTAAAAGTGTGGACTAAAATCTCGTCCGTTTAGATCTATCTCTCACCGTTTGGGGGCAAGAGGTAATTTTTCGACAAAATTTCGCCGAATATGACCACGTAGAGATGGGCACTTTATGCGAAAAAAAAAATTAAAATTATGCGCTGAAATTTGGCTTGATTATGCGATAATTATGCTTTGGAAATATGGCAATTATGCGCCCATAATTCGCTAATCTAAGCACTTTTATGCGAAAATGTGTGAAAAATGTTTAAAATTCGCGCCCAAATTCCCGCACTGTGCGAAAAAGTTCAAAATTCAACATTTCTTTGGCTAAAACTACGTTTATCCAGTTCTTTAACAAAAATGTCTTCAATAGGGTGGTTGCTTTGACCCAGTGGAGCTAACAGGTGTACGAACCAAAATTTGGTGTAAGGTAAGATGCCTTTTCGCATGCTGGAAAACCCTCCTTTGGACAGCGCAAAGGAAGAAAAATCAGTTATTTCCGTCAAAAGACCCACGTTTTTATTAAAACATACAGTAAAAACTCGACAAAAAGTCTAAAATCTTGATAAATTTGCAGTAATTTCGCCATTTTGTTCGTGGAAAATGCGAATTATGCGCGTATAATGCAAAAAAAAACGTTATGCGGGAAAAAATGCCAAATTATGCGAAATTATGCGGGCTGGAAATGCACTGTACAATAGTCCATTAACATTAAAAAGTTGATATCTTTCCATTTTGAACGATTCTAAAACATTATGCGAAATATGTGATCGCATAAAGTGACCATCTCTATGACCACGCTGTGCATAAAGACGTACAAGAAGCCCTCAAATCGAAAACCGACAAAGGAAGTACCATCCAAAACAGAACATTTTGAGTCAGAATCAGTCCTTGGAAGTGTCGTCTCTTCAATCGTTTCAGAGCTAGAGGTCGATATACTTAAAGCACTGACAAAAAGTCCAGTTTTAAGACTGTTTGGAAAACAATACAGGCTGAAAAGTGCGCTTATTTTTTAAACAGACCCGTTTCTGCCAGACTGTTGGGCGGAGGGGCGAGGGCGTCATGGTTCAACACCACCTGTTGAGCAGCTCCACACCCACGCCCGGGTACCAGAGCAACAATAGACACCTTGCTCTCAGAGCAGTCAGACCCCCCGCGCGCGCTGCCCAGCGATCATGCCAAATATTGGGTTCAATTTTAAAAGTAATGATTAATAGGCTAATTCAAAAAAAAAAAAAAAAACATCACGCTAAAAGACAAAAAGACACATCAAGAACAAGAACACTGCAGCGAGCAGGCATGACATGCCTGCATAGCGTCCAAAAGCATATTGTACGAGTGAGAGGGGGCTATGACGCGGCGCAAACATCGATATTCAAAAAATATTGCTCGAAACTTTAAAATGAAATGTTTTTGGTAATAGTATAGAACAGTGACTCAGAGCCGATGAGTCACTCTTCTATACCATTAGAAAGCGTTTTTTTAAATAATAACCCGGAACACTTTCAATTTATTGGCGCTCGAGTCTGGTTTTCCGGAAAATTAAATAAATATACGTCGCCGCTAACCTTCAGACGGACTTTGAACACGACAGAATACCTTACCATTACGGCTAGTCCTGACATTGATCGGGCCGGCTGGGGTTTTTAAAACATTGCTCATGGATCAAAGACTTCGCCTGATTCAAAATATCAGGCTTTCTTTCTCTACCGTTGCTTAGATCACAGTTTCCACGCTTCTCCAGTTCATTGACCAGACTCGAAAACCAGACTCGAGCGCCAATAAATTTAAGGTGTTCCGGATTATACTCAAAAAGCCATTTCCAATGGTATAGAAGAGTGACTCATCGGCTCTGACAGTCACTGTTCCATACTGTTACCAAATTTTCTTAACTACGGGTCCGTTTATGGTTAACAAGAATTGTTAACGTTTTTTTATTCATTTTCAAAGCAGAACGGTCGGGTGTAGTAGTGTCACACCGGTACAGTCTTTTCTCGTGTGCAAGTTGCTAAACTTAAGGGCCGCAGGGCCCCCCGAAAGCTTAAGTGTGTTCGAAATATTTATAGTGACCTTTACGCCACCAGCAGACCAAGCAGGCCCGGCCCCTGCCGAACGGAGTTGCCTGTGGAGCGAGGTGAAGCTGGAAACTTGGTTTGGCGAAACGGCAGGCCTGCACTTGCATGTTAAACCAGTATTTGTTGGAGGGATTTTGTGCGCAAGCTTCTTCTTTTCAGATTTTTCTCAGCCAAATTTTGTCTGAGTTCGCTTAGATTTGAACTGGCCTGTTTGCTCATCTCTAGGAAGCAGCAGTGACCATTTTAGCTTGAAGCCCTCGTGTCAGGTCTTGGCATTCCTCGGATGGCTTTTCGAGGCCTACGTCATTGCAGCCCCCTGGCCAGACACAGTCTTGGTCGAGTTATAAGCTATTTCGGAGAAGTGGTAGAGAAGAAGAGCACGAATGACAAAAGCGCTACTGCGCATGAGCAGGCTAGGGTGGGGGGCGGCCTAGCTGAAGCAGCGCCGTCTCCCAGCCTAGCCTGCTCATGCGCAGTAGCGCTTTTGTTATTCGTGCTCTTCTTCTCTACCACTTCTCCGAAATAGCTTATTAGAGACGTCGTGTGTCGTCCACCACGCAATGTGCGCGTGTTGTTTACCATACCTCCACAAAGCGTGCCATGCCGAAGTCAGCTACTTTGGCGACATTGTCCTCCCCGACCAGGACATTGCGGGCGGCGAGGTCCCGGTGGACGTACTGCATTGATTCGAGGTACGCCATGCCACTCGCTATTTGGGCGGAAAGTCGCATCAAGTCAGTTGTTTCAAGCTTCTGTTGTTTCTCTAGAACAAAAATATCAACTAGAACAAAAATATCAACTCGACGCGTCCTAACAACAATGTTCTATCTGCAGCGTGTGGAATACACAATGTTCTATCTGCAGAGTGCGGAATACACAATGTTCTATCTGCAGAGTGCTGAATACAAAATGTTCTATCTGCAAAACGGGGTTGGGCCGAGGGGTGGATAACTCCCCTGCCAAGTGTACACCCCTAATTCTGCCCAATTCAAACTAATTCACACCAATTCAATTTAATTCAAACAAGTTCAAAACTAACTCAACTAATTCAGTCCAATTCAAGACAATGTACATTCAATTCAAGTCAATTCAAGCCAATTCAAGCCAATTCAAGCCAATTCACGCTAATTCAGTAACATAAAATCGCATTAATTCAAACCAATTTAAAACCAATTCAACCAATTCAGTCCAATTCAAATTCAATTCAAGCCAATGCAAGCTAATTCAAATTCAAATCTTGAAATTTATACACCCAATTCAGGAGTTATCCACCCCTCGGGTTGGGCGCAGCACTTCGCCTCTGTGTTGTTTGCAAGTAACTGGAAGACATTAAGGCCAATCTGCGCACACGGAAAGAATCGTAAAGGTCCAATGTTTAAATATTGACTGCAAAGAGTGAAGTAGAACGAGCGGTTACGGAGTAATAAGCATTCCTTTGGAGGTGTCCCGAAACCCGCGTTTTGCAGATAGAACATTGTGTGTTCAGCACTCTGCAGATAGAACATTGTGTATTCAGCACTCTGCAGATAGAACATTGTGTATTCCGCACGCTGCAGATAGAACATTGTGTATTCCGCACGCTGCAGATAGAACATTGTTGTTAGGACGCGTCGAACTAGAACAAAAATATCAACTAGAACAAAAATATCAACTAGAGCAAAAATATCAACTAAAACAAAAATATCAACAATTTTTGTTAACTACAAAATAAACCCATTATTAGGTTCCCATATGTGTCAATGAACTTGCACGACATGTAAATATAGCGTGATTGCAGTGGTGTCGTCTGCAGCCAATTTGTCTGATCAGAGGAAGCTGGGAGGCTTTTGACAACGACAAAACTAGCAGTAACGGGAAAGACACAAGTGTTGGGTCAGACATTTAAATCGAGAGGTTATGAGGCGGACATTTAAAGAAGAATGGAAGGTAAGGGATTAAACAAAGCACGAAATTTGTCATAAAGCTAGGAAAAATATTTTCATGTGAGGCCCACTTATCAAGGCGGTGCAGTTTTAAAAGTTCCGGAAATAACTTGAAGATTGCAGGCGGGGGCGGGGGGGGGGGGGGCTGGCAGGCTTAGCCTAGCCTGTAAGTTCTGGGCCGGGCTGCTGAGCAGGTTCCAAAGTGCTTTGGGCAGGCAGGCAAGCGCACTGCTAGCCTGTGCTGCTAGCTAGATCGAAATCCATTCCTAGCATTTCCTGGATGTGTCACTCCAGGAATGCATTTTGCCTTAGACGACTCTTCCCTTAAAATCGTCCGGAAATTGGCAAAGTCCGCACGAACTCAGACATTAGGAACGTACCGGAGTTCACACTCCTCTAGTCACCCACGTTTGCAGTTTTCGTAGGTTTTTAGTACTGACTCAAGTAAGGTTGGTGCTTTTTAGTATCTAGGTGGTATAAAACCATTTTAAAACCATATCACATAGTTGCGAAGGGCCGCGGAATCTAAATGGCCCGTATTCTGAGAATCACCCTCCAGCCCCCGCCCCGCAGGACCCCCCCCCCCCTCACTCCTCTTGTAGGTGTACACTGACTGGAGTCAAGTGATTGGAGATTGATTGGAAATTTATTGGACTGATTGGAATTTGAATAGAAACTGATTGGAAGAGGAAATGTCTGTGACTGGAGAAAACGGAAATAAATTCCTAAAAAACAATTTTGTGAGGTATGTGGGGTGCAGACTGAAGACATTGAGTCAAAAAATAGTGTATGAAGGCTGAAAATGGTGTAAACAACATCCCTTTCAAACAATTTTGGTTTATGTGGTCTTCTTCGGCATTGGTACATTAAAAATATGTTTTAGCGTGTTATTTCTTTTCCTGTGTGAGTAAAACAATTCAAAATGCAAGGAAATTCAAAGGAAATTGCCAGTACACATAATTTGTTTTCGAGAAAATTTGATTGATCTGTGGAAATGATCGGAGTGATTGGAATGATTGGAAAATGACTGGTATGTGATTGGAAAATGATTAGTTTTTGGACCGTACACTGATTGGACGAAGTGAGGTTCCCCTAACCCCCTTCCCTACGCCACCCTCTTGCTGCTTCACTTCAACTTTAACGAGGGTTATACCGACTGCTTGTTGGTAGGGTAATATCGTTTCTCTTAAGGGATCGTGGCCGAATCTAGTTTAGGGAAGTGGTTAACTGCAGTTATGGTTAGTTTTAGACAACATTCTGTAAATGTGGGTGTTTCATCTTTGCCCATACTGAAATAATATAATACAAGACCTGATCATTATGGGTATCATCTGCTTTCAAGATCAATTCTGCTTGAATTTTTTTAAACAGCCTACTGAACATCCTCGTAGTCGGATCAAAACCTGCTGCTTAAGATGTTTGCTTACTACTTACCTTCCATGTACTTTAGTAGAGAACCATGGTGCATGTGTTCCATGACAATTAAAATAGGTTCTCTCTCCGCAAAAATAGCATGTAGGCGGACAATGTTGTCGTGGGACAGTTTCTTCATAATTTCACCCTCGGCAATAAACTCCTTAGGGTCCATTTGTCCTGCGACCAATCAAAATAGGATTTGATGGAAATACAGAATATGTTATATATCCATCTATAAATGGATAGAGTCACTGGTTTGTACGCTGGTGAAAGGGGCGTGGGGTCGCATGAGCCTTGTCCGATATTTCGACATTAGTAAATCGGAGCCACTGTTCAAAACTGCTGTTAAGTTGTCGGTCAGGTGGTAATTCGAACCGAAGCGCCCAGCGCTTGGCTTATCACTTTGGGCGATTCAGCAGGTGTGAGCGGCGGTCAAACTTTTTAATAGCAATTTTCAGGCAGAAGTGTAACTATTGACTTTTCACTTCGACCTTATGTTTCACACATTAGACGTCCATTGACTGTTAGTCACTGTAATGTTATCAATCAAATATTTCGGTCTCTCGCCTATATTCTAGAACTATACTCCCAGGTGGAGTCGTCTATTATTCGCTTCATTTAAACATTTATTCCGAAAATTGTACCCTGAGGTCCTATGGACTTCCTAAGAGAAAAGGAGAGCCTGAATGCACTATAGACTTCCCCTAGATCACGGCGGCCTGCACAGAGAATCGCTAGGTCTATTGGCCTATTCCATGGTGATGTTAGTTTTGATTGAGCTGTCGTGCAGCTGAAATGCAGTCGACTTCCAGTTCGCAGCCAGGCGCAATCGCCGTGCCATACTACGGCTTGGAGCCTGTTTAAATATAAAAGTCATCGAGGTTGCACCCTCTTAAAATTCTTTTGAACTTTTTAAGACAGTGTGCAACAGCTGGGCGATACTGGACAAACTTTTCCTGACCCGGATCGTATTTGAATTTGGGAACTCGAAGCGGCTGCCAGAGAGACCACCATACCACAATATTGATCACCACAGCTGCGCGCGACCTCTACGTATCGCGACGGTGCATGTCGCGTTTCACGGAACTGATTGGCAGTTTCGAATGTTTTTATCTTCTCGGATATCAGGGGTGCACCGTAACAAGACCAACAAGCTAGGCCCGCTCTTCCGCCAAACCAAGTTGCCAGCTCCGCTTCGCTCCACAGGCAACTCGCTTCGGCAGGGAGCGGGCCTAGCTTGGCCTGCCGGCGGCGTTTGGGACGGGCCTTTGGCCCGTTCCTTCTGACTTTTCATGGTGTAATAACGCTTCCATCGGAAAACGGGCCTTCGGCCCGTTTGAGTGACGGCTCGCTTTGAACCATCTTTTTGCCAGGTACCTTTGCTGTCTACTTCGTAATCAAAACTAAACAAACGAAGCATTCTTTTCATACGCTGAAAATTTTTGGCTGTGTGCCGCAGTTTGTAGAATACATGCAAGTTATCCCAAATCCCTTCTATGTTTTTCATGTTAGCTTATGGAACCAATAACACACCTATGAAAAGATATATAAGACTAGACCCAGAAGCAGTTAAATATACTTCCAGAAGACATACTCTGAGACAAATCCGAACGTGTTCGCAATGATTTCGCTATAATTACTGATAGGAAGGAAGCAGCTTGTAAAGTACAACAAAACAACGAAATAAATGTTTGTTGTTTTTTCTTGCGTGGGAGTGTACACATTTTATTAATGATGTGCCACCATAAAATGAGCCACTCTTCTGCTTAGAAGAAAATTTGGAACCGACGGGATACTTCTCAGACAAAAGTGTACTCCTGAAAAAAATGAAAAAGGTTCTGTTTTGACCATTTCGGTAAGAAAAATTCCCTTTCCCCAAACGACATTCTAGCCCAGAGGGCTCTTCTTTCACGATTTACCCCTTTGAAGACCATCAAATATTTTCTTAAAATAACAAACTCCCTCTAGCGTCTCAACGGTGAGAGATAGAGCCAAACGGACGAAATTTTAGTCCAAAAAGGGGTCTACTTT